TGTAGGACATGTTAATTTCACATTTGGTATTTGAATTACTTTCTGGGTTAATTCAATTACTTTTTACTTTCTGGGGTTTTTGAAATATTTTAAGTATTTTTGAGTACAAATGCCCAGTATTTGAATTACTTTTTTTGTTAATGCAAGTACCAAATACAAATAATTTATTGAAAGTATTTGCAGAATCAAGTACAAATATCCGAAAACAAAAATATTTGAATTATAGTACTTCAAATACTAAAAAGTAATTGAATACATTTTCCAAGTAATTTACTTGAAGTACTGACAGCTCTGTTTCGCCTGAAGGGCATTATAATCTACTAAAAATGCCCGTCGTGCATGCAGTGCTTCGTTTTCCACTGAACATAATGTTCTTCCATCAATTTAGTATCAAACACGCGTATCTTGAGTATGCTGTTAACTCACTTGTATCGTAAGTATCTATTATTTTATTGAAATCCCCATCCAATAGGACAAATGCTTAACGCGCTGTAAGTAAGCACTGCGTCCACTGCGACACGCTTCGCCTTGTACTTCAAATTTCACCGCACGCCCCTGGCGACACCGCCGTCTTTTGACCTTGAACGAAAATTTGGAATTTGATCCATATAGTACGCGAGAACATAAACATTTCCAATGTTAAAAAAAATAATCCCACTCAACGTTACCCTATCTCATGGTTTATATTATGTTCCGATGAATCAAAAACGTATAATAAGTTTATTATGAAACAGTTGTGAAAAAAAATATATGAATATATACCTATTTTCATGTAGATCTATTTATCAGTTAGCCCTATCAAATATATACAATTTTTTGGCATACCTACAGTCTATTTTTTCCCAAGATAGATTTTGACATTGCCAAGTTTGAAACATAAACAATACCGCTTGACCCTAATTGGTCGCAAAATGAGGTGTTCCTGCAGGTTGACATCAGTTTAGAATGCATGTCGTGCAAATGGCATCTTTCATCCAATAAGCGGCATTGTTTATGTTTCCAAGTTGACAATGTCAAAATCTATCTTGGGAGAAAATAGACTAGTTACCACTCATTTTATTTCCTTGTTAAACCTGTGTTAATAGGGAAATTGACAAAAAATTTAAATATGAAAATATTATTTATAAATCATAAGAATATATTATGTAAAACATATATCAGCGAAAAAAACAATTTTTTTTGTCGCAAACGGCTCCAATAAGGAATTATAGAAATGCGGAAAAATTTAAATTATTTCTAGCGGGAAATAACGCGCTGGTATTAGTCGTGACGTCATTTAGTATGATTGTCAGTGTCTGTCAGCAACCGTTCATCATACCGTGAGTTCGTCTAGAAACACTGAGCACTTGGAGCATTTTCCGTCTTTTTTCCTTATGATGAGAAAAACAGGGATAAAAGAACAAAACAGTAGCTCCGAGCGCTTACTCGAACTCTACATAATAAATACCCGTTAGCTGTGTTTATCCACGTTTTTCTCTAATTTTTTAAAATTTTATCATTTACTAGATTTGGTTTACTTAACTTAAATTTAATGATCAGCTCAGCATTATATTAATAATAATCGTTTATTGGTGTTAGATACACATAGTGTTTACACAGGTCATATTAATTTTGTTACAACATTACTTAAAATTACAATGTAAATTACTAAAAAACATTTTATAAAAGACATACATAATTTTTCTTTTTTTGAAAAAGTGACATAGAGACACAGAATATAAAATAGAAAATTTAAAAAATACACAATGTAGAACATACAAATAAACTTGGGTGTAAAAAAAAAAAAAAACAGCACTATTCAATTTTATTATTTGACCAAATGAGTGTGGAGTAGAATTCTTCGAGTGAATAAAAAGCCTTTCTTACCAGATATTCTTTCACCTTTTTTTTGAAAAGAGATCTATTGAGGTCAATGGTCTGTTCTGGAAGCTTAAACAATTTTGCGGCATGGTATCCAGGTCCATTCTGGCACCTGTGGAGTCGACAGAAATTTGGTCTTAAGTTATTCCTAGTTCTAGTGTTATGGCTGTGGATATCACTGTTACAATAATTGTATTGGAGAAAAAAGTTGTCCCTCACGTAAAGCAAATTCTGCAAGATGAACTCGCTAGGCAGAGTCAAAATCCCGCTGCTGATAAAGGTTTTTTTACAGTCTTCCCTGTACCCAAGACCCGAGACAATGCGGACAGCCCTTCTAGCTCTGCATTGCAAACACCCTCTGCGCCCCCGTTGCATGGCCCCATACTAGGAGAGCATATCCTAGATGGGAATGCACGAGCGAAAAGTATGTCTGCCTTACCACTTGGGGAGAAACACACATAAATAAGTTTCGCAGTAAAAAAACGTTTTTACTCATCTTGTTTGAGATCATTTCGGTGTGCGCATCCCACAGCAGTTTCTGGTCTAAAACTAACCCCAAAAATTTAGGACTGTCATTCGCCGGTTCGATTTTTTTTAGTGGAAATACTACATTCTGTGTTTTGGATTCATTTAGGTACAATTTGTTTGATGCAAACCATTGGCTGGCTCTTGACTGTGCTTCGCTCGACATTTCTAGCGCTGTCTGTAGGTCTTTGTCTTGTACTTGGTCTGTCGTGTCATCTGCAAAATTTGTCAGTATTTCATTTTCGGCAATATTTGGGAGATCATTTATATAGATTAAAAATAAAATTGGACATAAGATGGACCCTTGTGGGACGCCGATACTGAGCTCTTGTTTACTGGAGGATACATTATTATAATTATCAATTTGCTGTCGCTTAACAAGGTAAGATTTGATAAGGTGGATGCTGTCTAACGTGAAATTGTAAAAAGGTAGTTTGTCTAGCAATATCTCGTGCGAAACACAGTCAAAAGCCTTGCTCAGGTCACAGAACGTAGTGACAGTATGCTCTGACTTTTCAAACCCCTCCATGATCCTTTCAACAACCCTCAGAATTGCCAAGGTGGTGTTTTTCCCTCTCCTAAAACCATACTGTCGAACTAAGTATGTCATTTTTTTCTAAATAATTTGTAATTTGATTTGCTAGGCATTTTTCAAAGATTTTTGACAGGACAGGCAGTATTGATATTGGCCTATAATTTCCTGGGTCATTAAGATCCCCTTTTTTATATATTGGGGTTACCTTGGCAATTTTCAGGCAGTCTGGAAAAACCCCTTCTCTGATACAGATATTTATCAATTTAGTTAGAGGTATCAATAACAGATTCTTGACCCCTTTTATTATAGTAATACCTATTTAAATTATAGTAGTCTTTGCTCACCTTGTTTTTCAGTTGGTCAATTACATCCCGTACTTCATTGAAGGACAACTCCGTAAAGGAGAAAGATTGACTGCCTTGACTATTGGTGAGTTGGATGGTGTCTATATAAATCATTTAGATATTGAAGATGCTCTCGCATGTTTTTTAGGTCGTTGTTGAACCAGTTTATTTCATTTGTGTGGTTTTCCCTTTTTTTATATTTTTTTTTAGGAAAGGATTCATTGAAAGCCAATTCAACGAGATGCATGAGGGTTTCAAACTTTTCCCCAGCCTGAGAGTCATTATTAATGAAATTAAAGTCTATTTTAGATATTTTTTCATAAAATATGTTTTTCCCTGCTTGTGTTATAGACTGACATAATCTTTCTGTAAAAGCGCAATTCATTTTCTGTTGTAGACATTTGACTGCAAGTAAATGCGCATCATGATCTGACTTGCTAGGTCTAACAACACTCGCAACAAACTCAGTCTCCGAGAAATTAATAAAAATGTTGTCCAAACAATTATCACCCCGTGTAAGTTCGAAAATCGTCTGGACAAGGCCACACGTGCCCAAAAGGTCTACCAGATGCCCACAGGTTTTTTCGTTTGAGCAGAATCTAACATTGAAGTCCCCCGCAAGTATTAATTTATTTTGTATACCAATATTTCTAAGAATTTTGTCAAGAATATCAAGAAAGGTGTCAAAACTTCCCGAAGGAGACCTATACACGCAAACTATTGTGATGTTATACTTAGACCATTTTACCCCACATACCTCTATACATTTTTCCACACTCATTTGCTTCACCTCAAGTATTCCCTTATAACTAGAGTCTTGTTCAAGTAATATAGCTGATCCACCTCTTGTATTTTCTCTTCGACAGAATGAAGCGGCCACATCAAGATTTCCTATCTTCAACACACAAAAGCATCCATCTCTTCTTTAATGTCTCTTATAGATTGTGTGTTATAATGGAGCACATTAAGGCTTGTTTTCTCTTTTTCTGTGTGTTTCCTTCTATTTATTGTGTTGGTGGTTGATTCGCATGTGTTGCTGGACTTCCGTCTCGTGTGCATAAAATGGTCAACCAGAACACCTTGTCCCCAAATATCGGGGGTCATAATTGTCGTAATTAAAACGATATACTTACCTATTAATAATTATGACCGAAGAAGGAAATTCCAAAGGCTAATCCGACAATCTGTAATTTGTGATATGGTAGCAAAAGTATGTGGGAATCTTTTTTTTCCATTATAACTTTAAGGTGAAGCCGGCGCCACACGATGTGTCGAATGCCTTTTAACGTTGGACACATAGCGATTTGTGGCATCGTGTAGCCGTGCGCTCATCGGATACATGATACATTTGCCGAATGCTAGAGTAAAAAACACTGTACCCAACGTTGGATCGATCCAACGTTGGGGCCAATGGTTGGACACATAGTGTGGTGCCGGCTTAACGCAAAATCATACTACGTGACGTCATCCAGATTCGCGCGCATTTAGGGTCGTTTGAAATGCTTTTATTTCGCGCGAAACTTTAAAGATTTTTCACAAAGTTATTATTGAGTTTTAGGGAATAATATTTGGGCAATACTCTTTCAAGGCATAAATAAATGATTTGAAAAAATTTTTAAAAAAAATTGTTAAGTTCCTCATTGTTTGTCATTTATCCTTTGAAGCTCTTTGCCATCTGATTACTTGGTTATGGAGTCTTGACCTATAAATCTCTATTTTCTTTTCCCTTGTTCCAGATTCACCACACCACATTGACCAACGAATTTTAGAAAAGCGAAATGAAACGGGCACAGTTTTACCTGACGATGCTCAATCAAATTCTACTACTTTATCTACAACAAAGGAGTTTACTTCAACTACGCAAACTCCACAAGAAGCTTCTACAGTTTCACCTATTCAGACATCAACAAAATTTAACGTAACTTCCCTGTTGAGGAAAAAACTTGGGCAAGAGTTGGGTGGTCAGCAAGGTAGATTTAGGTACTAATGACAAAGCCACCGTTATTTAAAATAAAACAATTATTGTAGATGAATTAGTAGACGATTCCCTCAAAGTTGTTCCATTAAGAAGTGAACATAATGATACAATTGACGCAGAAGTTAAGGATTTACTGGAAGACGATTTACCAATCAAACAGAGTGAGACATTTTTATTATATTTTTTGAGCGGCTTTTTATTTTTTTCGTTTAAGGTATACTTGAACAACACCAACACCCTCTTGAACCCATAGAACCAGTACCAATCCCGGATAAGATTGACAAACAAGTAGAGCTTATAGAAGATGGTGAAAATACTGAAGACATGTTGAGACGCCATAGAAAAGAAAATCTGATGGAATCTGTTGAAGGAATCCAAAAAATCGAAAGACTACCAAATACTCCTATTGCAATCATATTTGTGACAATGTTTGTAGCCTTGTCCATAATCTGTTACGCAGGTCTTTTGGTGTACAGAAAATATTTAGAGTAAGTAACGATTTGCATTTGTTGAAATAAAGTTTTATGAGTTTTTTTATGCTGGTTCTAGGAATAGATATGGAAGCAGAACACTTTTGGTAGATGCCGATGAATTAGCTCATCCAAACGATATGAGACATTTCACTGTAAGTGGTTTTGCTAACTATTCTTCTTCGAAATAATTTTTTTGGCTTCCAGATTTAGGTGGATGATGGTCTTGAAGAAATTGAAGAAAAGCATACAGCTATTGTCAGGCCAAAGAGTTACCATACTTCTAGGAAACCCTGCCATGCTAGATTATATTTCAATTGAGATTATAGGTAAATGTAAATAGCTAATTAAAATTTATTATCACTATTATTATAAGTGAATAAAGAGCTCAGAGAATTATTTTGTGCTCATTTCTCATAAAGAAAAATACATACTATTTTATGCATCTACCCAGGATAAGTACCTACCTGTGATAATTTAATTATATTCAATTAACAATAAGAAAACAAAACTACATCAAAAATCAATTATTTGTGTTTTATTTTGAATAATATAAAAGTAAGCATATGCAGAATAAAAGATAATAAACATCACAGTAGCTTTCGAGACAATTAAGAAGCATTACTCACCTATGCCTCAATCTAATCGTAAGTATCAAAAATACTTCCAAGATATAAATTTTAAGGCTTCTACAGGAAATTCGGAATATTTTGGCATAATAGGCAATAAAATAAAATGTAAAGCAATCAAAATTAAGTAAACGGTATGTTTTTGTTGTCACATGCTTTAAATAAAGTGAAGCATTAAATTAAATCTCATGTGTCACCCTTTTTGACACCCCCTGTATATGCGCGAATACAAAAAGAAAAAACAAATTACTTAAGGATTTAAACCCTACACCAGCCGTGTGCAACATCCTCTTTCAACTTAAAAGCGCCTTTCAAAACTGGTCACTTTTAAAAATTTGTATTGCTAAGAATACAAATTTTTAAAAGTGACCAGTTTTAAAAAGCGCTTTTAAGGTAAAAAAGGATGTCGCATACATAAAACTTTTTGTCATAAAATATCTAGATTTCCATATACCGAGATAGGACAAAATAAACTGGCCATCCTGTACCCGATAATAGTCATCAAATACGTTGTTTTCAATTTTTTATGATGGATTCTAACAAGCGTTAAGAAACGGTAGTTGTCTATTTCTACTTTACTTTATAGCATGTAACAACAAAAATGTAAGTATGTCTTTCGCATTGTTAGGGCGTTTTCCTTAATTGTGATTCGTTTGCTTAATATTTTATTGCCTAGTATACCAAAATATAGCATGATTTTCATATACTCAATAGACTCTTTTTTTAAATCTTAATTAACTTAATAAAGCTTCTGTGTTATAAATAAATTCATTTCGTACAAACTAAGATGCAAAATAATTATTTATGCACACATTTATCAGCACACCATCAGGAGTAAGAAACCTCAAAGTAGCTCATCCTTGCTTCCAAAATCCTAAAATAAGAGTAAATATTATAGCAAAAATGCAAAACTACTAAAATAATAATCTCATCTGGTAATTGATGAATCATTATATTTTTCAAGGATGTTCTTTCTCTCTTAATACATATGTCAAAACCGGAGTTTTTGTTGCCAAAGTGAAAAATACAATAATTGGCCAAAATAACGGGTCTTCAAAAAAAAAAAAAAAAACAAAGATTGCTATGGTTTTTTAAACGTATGTCTCACCCAATGACATCTTAACACAGATAGACACCGCATCTCATTCATAAACTGATGTTTGTTGTGATGACAAGACCCCCCCATGTACCAGGAGAGATGAACTGCTCGAGGGGGGTCATGGTAGGGATGCAGCAGTGGTGTAAACAAAATTAGCCTTACCCTCTGAACCCGTCATTCATTTGCCAAAATAATGGAGAAATGCGAATAGGTGCAACTCGTTCATCTATCTATCTGCCTCTAACTAGTCTAACTAACATGCCAATCGATAGCAACGCGTGTTCTGCCTGTTTCACAAAATTGCCGTTGCCAATAGTCGTTTTTAGTCTTGGAAGCTCCAGTTTTTTGAAAGCATATCATAACAGATAAAATTTGATTCGTAACAATAGGGAACTTGCACATTAAATTAAATATGGAATAAATAATAAAACACAATAACAATCATCCTAATAAATGATGCAATTAGGAAAAAAATATAATATCTTATCTTTGGTGTCCAAAATCTTCAATTGAAAATACCAAATAATTGGAAATTCATGACGCGATCAAAAACGTGTTTCAATGGGTCGTGACGTCACAAGGCAGTAATAATCGGGTCGCGCCGCTGTCACGTCATGTGCTGCTGGTGTCGCCAATGTCAAATCTATCAAAAACTGCATACATAACAACATAACCATAATCTTAATCTACCTGCTCGAAGTTCGAAGTGCTCGTCACTGTCATCGGAATTTTGTTGCCGAGTGACGTCACATTAATCGGTCGTTTCAAATGGCATTGTTTCAAGCGTAACCTCAAATATTTATAAAAAATTAACGGCTGATTTTTAATGCTTGATATTTGGCATGACTATGTCTTCAGTGTAGTAGAACACATTTAAAAAAAAAAAAAAAAAATGTGCATTGTGCAACCTAATTGGAGGGAATACCCCAGTGGTGGATCGCTCTCCTAGATGTTGGCAGCACAAAATTTTGTTTACTGTAATGTCTATCTGTAAATATGTCATTGGTCTTACCAATATTTTTCTTTAATTTTGGCAATGAACCGTTATGAACAGAAGTAGGTACCTAAAGTCCATAGTTTTTTTTTTTTTTAAATAACTGAATGAGATATGCTGTAAACACAAGACTTTTCCATGTTGAAAATGCCACCAAATTGACAGTTTTACATTGTATCACAGATTAACCATTGTATTATTGCCATTATATCAAAAATGTCAGTCATAAAAATAAAGCTGCTTACGGAAACATCGATCTAGGATCAGTTCGATCAGTATCAGCTGTTCGCTGTTCAAGGATTAGTAAACTATCTAGGCGGAGCTAGTTTAGTTTCCGAACGGGAGAATCCGCTGAAAAATCTTGCCAAATGACACCTCCCAACTATCCTAACATCAACAAAAAATATTTTGATAGTTTGATTTCAATTTTAATCTCAAGTTCTCAAATTTCCATTTTTTTGGCTTCTTGCTGTTGAAAATGTCTGCCACATTTATTTTAAAGGCTAAACAATCAACAAACCACTAAAAAGTTGGATTAAGAAGAAAAACAGCTGACTGCTACCAATCCTATTTACCCCGAATTTTATCAGGGTCGATGAGATCCAAAGATATGATACTGAACCGAACAAGCCGATCACTTTTCGTACAAGAGTGAACTGATCCTAGATCCCTTCCCGTACGTCGAGATTGGTAATCCTTATGATCGGGTTAACCCGATCATAGTTTCCGTAAGCCGCTTTTATGATTGTCATGTAGTGCAGGATAATTACACATTGACCCGGATAGTTGAAATAACAAGCTGAATATTGGTGAAAATGTTGAGTATAGTGTTCTGATTGATATCCCAAAATTCCCAAAAAATTAACCTAGGGAATAATAGGCTATTTTGAAAAAATCACCGCAATCTTGGATTTGTCGAGTTTTAAGCATAGCGACTGAACCGATCATCAGATTATATTCATTTATGAGGCAAGTTACTTCATTTAGGCTGCGGTATCTTCCAAAATATTTAAATTAATAAATATAGAACAATTTTAGTGGTCGAGAAAGAATAATTTTTATTTAAATGCTACAAACGAAAACACAAGGCGTGAAATACAGACATAAGGCAGAAATAAAACTACATTATTGAGGATAAAAGTAAGAAAGCTTGTTTCGAGATATCACTGGAACTAGACTGACTGTTCATTGGCTAGCAAAAATCTTAAACGTTGGGTAATGCATGATCTGAAAAATTATAACCTGCATTAGCTTCAACCACAATTTAATAAAATAAGGTGTTCTTCAAGTTTTGTACAAGATTCAAAAGTTTTGCATCACCTTGTATTTATACGCAAAAATTTTTTAGCGGCAGCAATTTTTTTTAGGCTTGTTCATCAATGTTTATCTTCCTGAATCGTCGCCAATTGTTGCCCGTAGATTGTAGATTGCAGATTTCGGGGGAGTCGTTTCGGCTATTCAGCCGCTCAGCACTGCTACCTTTGCAGATATTTTGTGCGTGACTCTGCATCTTAATTTGTCTCCAGGAAGCGTAGACTTCTGTCGAAGGAAGCTATTTTCCTGGGTGTCAGTTGGCCCACTTCTTCTGGTGACAGTGTTGCCCCCTCGAGGAATTTGAGCCTCTTGCAGAATTGGGCTGGACATTAGCAGAGCAGATGCTCTGCGGTTTCTATTGCGTCTGAGCAGAATCTGCAGAGATCGTCTTCCGCTCTGCCCATTAACCTTAAATGGTATTTTACTGGGCAGTGTCCTGTGAGCAGTCCCACCACCAATCTGATGTCTGGTCTGCTCATGTTCAGCTCTTTTTGCTGAAAGGGTAATAAACCTTTTTGACTGTCTGAGTCCCGGTGTGTGCCTCCAATATGATGACAGTTGGTCTTTCTCCCATTTGTTGAGTTTTTCCATGATGTGGCTTTTCATTAAGCCACAGTAGGGCTCTGGTCCGTGGTATTTTGTTGCCCGTAAAAAATGTTTACAATTTTTTTTTGTAAGTTCAAATTTTTGGTGCGACTAGTTCTAGAGTCAAGACAGTTGAATTTTACGAATTCACGTGAAAAGATGCCTCGACAAGTCATAAGTGAGATTGATCGTGCAAGAATATAGTGGCTTTAATTAAAGAAGGTCATTCTCAAAGGTTCGTGGCTAATAGAGTTGGTGTTTGTCAAAGTGATGTGTCTCGCACCTGGAATCGCTATATCCAGCATAATTCTCTTCGTGATAGACCCAAAAGCGGTAGAAGACGTGTCACTAATCAACAACAGAACCGTTATATTCAGTTAACCATCCGAAGAAACCCGACCATGGCAGTACCAGCACTCCAAAGAGATATGCGTCATGCTTTGGGAGTTCAAATATCGGTCTCTACATTGCGGAGACGAATACTCACGACAGGTTTAAGGTGTCGTCGACCACTTAGAATACCTCGACTACAACCAGAGCACAAAGTTCGTCGGCTACAGTGGGCTCAAGAGCACGTGGCTTTACCTGCAGAATTTTGGAACTCGGTGTTTTTTTCTGACGAAACAAGAATTTGTTTGGTGCAGGATAGTCGTCGCATACGTGTATGGAGGGAGTCAACAGCTGCCCAGCTTGCCCATGCACGCCCCGTGCCACCCTTTGCAGGAGGAAGTGCTATGTTCTGGGCTGGTATCATGTCTAATTGTCGCACAGAATTAATTTATGTTCAGGGCACAATGACCAGAGACAGATACATGAGAGAGATTCTAGATCCTTACGTCAGACT